CGGTTCAACTTCCCCTCCGATTCCATCCTCTTGCTTAGTGGTACGTACAAATGGTGCAATTAATTAATTACTACTTCCTGCACGCTTCACAAATATTGGTGTGATTCCCGTGACATTGGAATTTGGATCCCATGTCATGAGATGACCCGGGAGTGTTCGGTGTTCCGTTTGTAAAATAGACGGTTCTTACCGGGTGTCTCCGAGTCATCCAATGATATTGTCGGGCAATGTCATGAAAATTATCCCGCACAAATGTTCTTTTCTACCTTGTTCATATGATTAAAATTTATTCATTTTGTTTGCTAATTTTGACTACGTAATTCATACGTGGTACGAGTAATATATACGGAGTATAATATAGTCATGTTAATTTATACTTAATTCAATTCACAAAGTAATTTGACTTTCGCTTTATATTCTTCCTATAAATCACTTCCTCTTTCTATATTGTTTACCTATTTTATCTTTATCAAATGATTTAAGCTTTTAATGTAAAAAAACAACGATTTAAGCTTTTAGTAAGAGAAAAGATTTAAAATTTATATGAAAAAATGGTCAATATTCATCAGACATTCCATCCTATTTATTTACTCAGCTCACCAAAATTCTAACAGGGGTAAACATAACTCGGTAAATGTGAGAGTGATAGATTACGATTGAAGAATTGAATAAATTAAAGTGCGTACGTGTTTGATCCATGTGCGAAGGAGGTGCTTAAGGAATATAATGTGAATAACTTTAATTTAAATTGTGCTTATGTTCTGTATTTAAATACGGTGAGGGTACAAAAATTTTTATTTAAAAAAAATCGAAAGCACGTTCAAATAAAAAAAGATAAAAAACAATAGTAAATTATATGTAAGAAATGCTTATATAAAACTTAGTTTAATTTATATTTTGTATTTCACAAACAAAAGACCGAGAATGATAACAAAATAGTATCTCAAATGTTTGTGAACTTTTTTATATTCATCTACAAAAAATTAAAATTCAAATAAAAAATTATTTGTAATTAATCTACACTTGAACTAACTTTTCAAAATCAATTTATTATCTAATGAAGAAATATAAAAAAATTATTATTTTTATAACATATTAGTATATATATTCGGTTCGGGATTTTTCATACAAATCCCAGATACCGGATCGACCATTCGGCTCGGTACAGTACGCACAATTTCTTTCGGTACTTTATCGGTTTGATATTTTTTAGTTTGATAATCTTAACTATGTTTAGAAATTTTTAGGATCCATTCAGTAATTGCTCACCCCAATATCTCTCATTTGATCAATTAGCTTATTACACAAATTAAACTTTAATCATAAATGCAGAGGAAGAGGGAGATCCGTACAGGATTCCCACAAAACACAACATAAGAATGGCCATGCAATGGCTGGTCGGAGGTTGTCAGGCCGGCGACTCTCTGGTGTTCCATTATTCCGGCCACGGCTCTCAACAGCTGAACCACACCGCCGGAGACGAAGTGGACGGCCGCGACGAAACGCTCTGCCCCTTAGACTTTGTTACGCAGGGAATGATCGTTGATGACGAAATCAATGCGGCGATTGTCCGGCCGCTCCCCCGCGGAGCCAAACTTCACGCCGTCATAGATGCCTGTCACAGCGGCACCGTCTTAGATCTTCCCTTTCTTTGCAAGATGGACAGGTTCTTTTAACTCTCAATGCATTTGCATGTAATTTGTTTTTATTTCTGCTCTAGCCTTAGCTTTGCACATGAATATTACCATACTCTCCCGTCTTTGTATATTTCTTTAGTCTGACCTTTTCAAATTAAAATAGATAAATTTTGAGTTTGGAACTACTCTCTTGTACTGAATAATAGTGAAATCAAATACGGGGACAATTTTAAAAATTCTCAACATAAGAAATCTAACAAATCATTTTTATACTAAAATATATTACGGAGTATAATTTTTGTTTAATTTTAGCTCAAACTTATTTAATTTCACTCAAAAAATTCAAGCTTAAAAAATACATTGAGAGTTTGAGAGAGTAGGAGTAATTTTAAAATCACGTAACGAAATGAGTTTCCAATTTGTGATTGACCTTTCGCTCAAGTTTGAGGTTGTAGCTAGGTCCCAAAATGGTTATATATATATATATATATATATATATATATATATATATATATATATATATATATATATATAGTCTAACAAGAGACTCTGATATGTGACAGTTTAATAAAGACGAGTAATTATTTGTGCGTGCAGAGGGGGAATGCATGTGTGGGAGGACCATCGACCGAGATCGGGAGCATGGAAAGGGACGAGTGGAGGAGAGGTTATATGCTTCAGTGGATGTCGTGATAATCAAACATCTGTTGATACCGATGTTAGTACTACTATATACTGACTCGTTGTCTCACAAACTATTTCTTTTTTTTGTCACACCATTCTTTTCCCTTTTTTATTACAACATAACTTTTATCTCTATTAATTTTTAACATATATATCTATCACATTATACATATGAACTAATTAATAATATATGTAGGGAATGGTTGCCATGGCATTAGAATCTCATGTCATGGGATGATTCAGAGCTGTTATGATGTTCCATTTATTTGTAAAATTGACGGTTTCTACCCTTAACCCCCGATAAACCGCCCCATCCCGTCCTGAGCCGAACATCTCCCCACACCCTTCAGTTGCATCCCCAAATTAATTTTTACTTTGGAGTCAAAATTGACTCCAAAGTTAAAATTAATATGAGGCTGATATTGAAGGGGGTAGGAGAGTGTACGTGTTCAGATCGGGGGAGGGGTTAAAATCCGTTTATTTTATGAACAGAGCACCGTAGCGCCCCGGGTCATCTCATGACATGAGGTTCTATTGTCATTGGAATCCCTACGATATATTCATTATACTTTACTTTTACAAATCACATGAAGAAGTATATTTTTTTAAAGCAACCATGCTAGAAATACACCAAGAAGAATACCACATATTATATTCCAAAGGGATGCACCAACATTTTAATGATTAATTGGCACAAAATATTAGTCTAATTAAAAAATTTGAACTGATATTTTATGTCATTGTAAAGCATCACACTAGCACAAAATGTTAGTGTATGTCTTCGGAGTACAAAGTGAGATATAATTTTGGGCCTACAAATATCATTTAATTTCCCAAATGATTAAGCTATTTGTATCTCAATTTATACACCGCAGGTGTGCACCTTCATTTTGCGTCTGTTCAATGCTAGAGTGATATTTTACACAGACACAAAATGTTAGTACAAATTTTCGTTAACGCACCACCATTTTGTATTTGTGTGAAACATCAAAATGTTAGTTTATATCTTTAGTGTAACTTTGAGGTACACTTTTTGGTGTAAGTGTAGCATGGTTTTTCCCAACATCAATATTTTAATGAATAATGCTAGAGTGTCACCACATGAGTGCTACCATGGGTGCACCCATGCTTCACACAGATAAACACAGACGATAATAGTCTGTATCGTACAGACAATTATCGTCTGTGTTTGTCTGTGTGAAACATGAGTGCACTCATGATAGCACCCATGTGGTGGCATCCTAGCATGAGCCTATTTTAATGGATGCACAAATGAGGTTGATTAATTGCATGGGCCATGGGGTACTATTATTATGTGCAGAGTTTGTCAGGAGTGACCTCAACGGGGGTAATGACCTTTTCCTTTATCCAAGCCATTGAACGGGGAAGTGGACCACAAGAAGGGACAACGACGACGTATGGGAGTATCCTAAAGTCTATGAGATCTTCCATACGCAGCAGCTCCGGTCATCGTCCGCCCGGCGGCCGCCGCCTTGTCACCACCCTTCTTTCCATCCTTGTAAACGGTGGAGCCACCAATCGCATCATCCCACAGGTATTTAAAATAAAAAAAACAGGTTGGAACTTGGGGTAAAGTTGACTGAATTGCACCCAATTTCACCTCAATTTAACTGAACCTTACCTGGTACGAGTATTACATTTCATTTTTAATTTGGAGGTAAAATTGATCGAATTTTATCCATTTGCATTATGCTTCACCTAGTTTCAACTCGAAATTTACCAAATTACATTCATTTTCACCTCAATTAAATCCAATTGCATTTAGTTTCATTCAATTTGGGGGTAAAATCATTTGAATTTCACAAATTTTCACTCGATTGGAACAAAAAACTATTTTAATTTCTCCTTAACGTTGTATATACCCCATGTTTATGTGCAGGTGCCACAACTAAGTGCTAATGAACCATTTGATGTGTACACCAAGCCCTTTTCGATATAACTCTTCGACAATTGATCGTGTGCTTAGTGAACCTGTTTTCTAAAGTTTATTACTCGTGTATTGTATTATATATTCCGTACATTGCAATGATAACGCTTTATGAACGCAAGGAAATAATGGTACTAGTTGAATCAAAATAATTCTCAATGCCAATTTTGTACTAACTTACAAGTTTCTCATACCGGCGAAACTAAATTGAAGATAATGATATGAAAGAAAAAAAAGTGTAAATCTTCGATCAAACCCCAATGCTTACAATTGTGAATTTTGATATAGAATGCTAGGGGTACACCAAAAAGTATACTCCAATTCTACACCAAGACAATTACATATTTCTTTCGTCCCACAATGTTTGCCGCATTTCCTTTTTCAATAATCACGAGAATTTTTGTTAATTTGTACGTTTTCATTGATTGTTTGATAAAATAAAATATTTTGACACCTTTTATTTCGAAAAATGTTCAATGTAGTTTTTAAATACAGAGTATGTAAATTTTATTTTTATTTTTATACCAATATTTCAAATAAAATGAATTTTAAAAAACTTGATATTTATCTCGTTTTTCATGTGGTAAACATTTAAGGACGGAGGGAGTATAATATACGGAGTACCCTATCCGTTCATCAAAACTCTTCTTGTTTGTTATTTAAAGGTTCTCGATAACTTCGGTTCGATTGTATTTTTTATTAGTCATTTGACAAGTAAAAATAAGATAAGAAGAATTTTGGTGAACGGAAGAGAATATGTGTTTGTGTATACAATTGGGATACATTTTTTGTGTAGCCCTACCATTTTTTGTATGGTTCTTGATCCCTCACCAGGCTCCTCTCAATCTGGATAAATCATTTCCGCCCAATTTCCATGGCCGGAGCAGCACCAACGCGCCTATGCCTCTTTCCATCGATTCCCCCATCAACCCACAAAACCCCCAAACCTCCCGCCCTCTTCCCCCCTCGCTGCCGCCGCCGCCGCATTCACAAACCCCACTCCCCGGGAAGCAGAATCCTTCCGGCCGCATCCGGCGAAAGCCCACACTTGCTGGGCGATTTCGGCGGCAGAGACCCGTTCCCGGCGGAGATCGAGAGCGGTTTCTGCGAGAAGGTGCTGGGAGACGTGGACACGGAGCACAAGATTCTCATCCCCAGCGCCTCAGCTCTCTCTCTTGCTCAACGAACCTGCACTTCCATCACTCCTCCATTGTCAGACCTCGAAGCTCGCCAGTTGTTGCTGAAGGTGAGCTTCTCATACACTTCTCCATTCGCTTCTAAGGCCCTCCCCATCAAACAAATCTCTTGTCTGCAATATACATTCATTGCTTTTGGCACAAAGACTAATGAGGGAAAATATAAAAACAAATTGTCCTTGGTTGAATAAGTTTAGAGTATTAAGTTTGAAAAAATAAGGGCAAACTAGTAATTTTAGTATATACTCAGTATTTCTTTATCATATATGGAAAGAAGAATTTACCTAAATAGTACTAAGACTTTTCCAATTTAGTATCATATGTTTTTATTTCCCAATGTATTACCTTTGTTCAATATCCACTGTTCAATATCCTAACTCTAGTATCATGGACCACGACTGGATGTCCTCCCGAAACATGGGAGGCGATTTCTCATGTTTGGTTGGCCTCTTCCACGTTATAAATATTCTCTCTTCTCGTGAAGAAGAGATCGCATTCTTAACACACGAATGAATTTTTTTAGCTTCATTTCTCCATAATTCTAAGAATGTTTATGTCATAGCAACTCATATATTCCGGCAATGAGTTGCATTCCCCTGAATGTTTTATTACCAAACATATGTATGTGTGTATATATTGGGAAGCTAAGTGGACAACAAACAGGTTGTTGGGTGGAGGGTGACAAATGAGGGAGGGGGACTGAGGCTGCAATGCACTTGGAAAGTGAGAGACTCCGACTGCGGCACAGAGCTCGTCAAAAGGATCAACCAGGCAGTGGAGGGCACAGGACATTCCTCTGACCTTCTTCTAGAGCAAGAGTGTGGCCAAGTCCGCGCTCGTCTATGGACTGCTTCCGTTGGAGGGTTGAGCTTGAACGACTTCATTTTAGCTGCAAAAATCGATGCTGTTAAAACATCTGACCTCTCTCCCACAAAGAGAGTTTGGGCATAACTATGTCATCATCTGGCTTCGCTGAGTAGTCTCATGTATTTGACAGTGTTTATCGGGTCATACCTCTGTTTTTATTCTCCGTGTAGCTATTTTATAGCGTATGTTATTTGTGTATAGATTTGCAAAAATGATTTTATCTTACAAAAAACTTCCAAATATATAGTCTGATGTATTGTCTTCAAGATAAAATATGGAGTATACATTTTGATGTATAAGTATGAACTGTTATGTTGATTTACTTCATGATCAAAATGCAACGATTCGAAGGCCCTACACTGCTCTATTCTAACCCCCAAAACTCTCCCCCACCCCACCACTTACCCCCATACTAAAGTGTTCGATGTAACCTTACAAGTCACAACAAAATTTGAATTAAGGGAGGGGATTTGGGAGGGGTTCTGAGGCATTACTAGGTAAGAACTACTTCAGGGTCGAACAAAATATCATAGGATCAAATGTCATAGTAAGGATGTCAAAAAAACCCTAATGATGTAATAGGTTGAAAAGTTGGTGTTCATGGAGCAATATTTTTCAAGCAATCACAAGATCCCCAAACAAAAACTAACACACTGTTTACAATAGATTGCCAAATATTTCAATCTGTGTATGGCTCACACTTACAACATTGGGAATCACAAACAAGACAAATACGCTTTTTTTTAATAGTACAGCTCAACCGCATTAGAGCGTCTAAATTGCTTTAGATTACAAAGACACGCAATTACAACACTAGGTATCACAAATCGTCACTCGAGTCAAATTTTTAACCAAAAAAAATACAGTAAATGAAACATACCAGAAAATGTTCAGTTAGACCACACATGAACCAGCCCACACCTGTTTCCGGTGTAGATCTCGTTGCGGTCTTCATCATAAAAGAGGGCAGTGATGTCATCCAGAGCTTCTGCAACAGTGCTCCTAATTCTTTCTGCCGCTCGTACTCTCTTGGATTTACAGTTCCTGCCATTACAACGGGCAGTACTACAACTGCAATCATCCCTCGCGGCATCATCAGTTGCTTTGATCTTTGCAAGGCACTTCCCTGTCAAGATATTGCTTATATTGATAGATCCTGCTGTGATACCAGACCAGCATCCATTAGAAACTTGGCACTTGCAATGAAGGGAAACGGAGACTGATAAAGAATATTACTTCCTCTGTCTCATAATTATGTTCCTAATTTGAGTACAACTATTGGAGAATATCAATTGTAATACTATTTGAAGTTGGTAATTTGTTTAACTAAGTTCGACATACTTGAATTCTTTGAGACACGTATTTAATGAAACACATAAAATATAATAAAAATTGGCATTTTAGGAAGGAAACACATTTAAATAAATATATTAGCATAGTTTGTTAGAATATGACTTATACACTTTTGGAGAAGAAAGGTAAGATTTCAAAATAGGACCGTTAAATATAGGACTTACCATTTCCTTCGGTTAGGGGGTCATAAGAATCAGCCTTGCAGTATGAGATGATAAGGTCCTGATCACTAGTAATGTAAATGTTGTTAGTATTACAATCAGGATGCCACAAAAGGTGGTCCTCAAATGATGTCACTAGCTCGCCTCTGAAGTTCCAAACAGCAACCGTTCTGTTTCTGAATGTCAAGAACAGCTGGTTCTCGTACAGAAAAATGAATGCCGATGGGGTCATGAACTCAGTCCTACTAACTTCTGTTAACTCATCATTACGAACCTGAAAGCAGGATGTTCTTTAGATACTCTAAATTGTGTTTGGACCCATGAAAATAATCTAAATACTATGGAAATAACAATTTTTGCCAAAGAAAAATGTTTTCTTGTGTTTGGTTATATCAAAGAACATGAAAAGGGAGATGAAATTATGATTGCTATCCTTACAAAATTTTGCCCCATAGTTTCCTCCATACCCCCCTCCGCAAAAGCAGTTTCGGAGTTTAAAACAGAATGATGAGAGAAAACAGTAGAAATCAGTTGTGTAATAAGGAAGGCAGCTCACATCAAGAATCTGAAGATTTTCATTCTCTTGCTTGACAAGTAATTTCTCATTGAACTGTTCTATGAAATCCACCTTTTTGTTCCGATGAAGAAGATGGTTGAAAGATTTGAGTTCAGTCCCATCTTCAATGGACAGAATCTTAAGGGGAACATAGCAACTAGCCTTAGCAAATATCAATAGCATGATTCCTGGACTGTTTTCCGAAAAGGACATGAAGAAGAGCATAATAGTAGTAAGAGAAGACCAGTAACTATCAATCAGTAAGCAGTAAAATACCGACCTTATTTTAATCTCTTGTACATTTTTATCTGATATGGAATACAACATTGTATAATTCTTCAGGTCAAACACCTTGTATATGCTGATCGAATAAAAAAGAGAAAGCACAAGTAAAAACAAGAGGTGTTACAAATACAGGTGCCACATAGAAAATATATGATAATTGAATAGCTACCTGTCCTGGGCAGAGTAGGTTAGGACTTTTCCATTTACATCATCAAACTCCACGAAACCAGGCCACTTCAATGACTCTGACTCAAAAAGTGCAAACCCGGCATCTGGTTTTCCCCTTCTTATGTATCTAATATAAAAGTGCATGTATTAGACTACAAAAGAACTATAAATGCACGCGGGCACACACACACACACAGAGCAACTAAAAATGGAGAAGTGTACAAAATAAAGTGCATACTCAATCCTGGTGGTGCGGCACTTCAAGGAGCTAAAATTATCCAAAGCATACACTGAAACAGTGATGAGGGAATCATTATTTTTATTGTAAAACAAACTCCGTATCACTTCATCTGGGCAGATATTCAGAAAACATATCCTCTGGTTGGTCTCTGCACAGACAATAGACAGTGATAAGCCTTCTTGTGATCTTACCATATATCAAAGAGAGACAATGAAAACATAGTTGGTCGAAATCATGATTTCATACCATTGCTTACCTCGGCTAAATGCAGCACACACACCAGACTGTGCAAGCGCAAAGACAATATCACATGCGGCAACTATCTCAATTATTTTTGACCTTTTCTTCAGAAATGGGAGTATCATGTCACAATGTCCCTTAGGATCATGAGTATCATATTCCTCCTGAATCACATGTACAGTTACTAAATGTTAAAAATGTAAGGTTTTTTTTGTTCAAAACAGAAGTATATGTGTGGGTATCTGTATAAAAGATACATAAAACTTATTCTAAATAATACTCAATATAAAAACGAAGAAGAAAATCAGAAGCCTAATATTTCACTTTCTAAGACTAAAACTTAGAGCCACATAAAGTACACAAAACATCTCAAAGAATATGAAGCTACTGCAGAATGATTCATAGCATTAGCCTTCAGGATTCATTCTCAAAATGGACTATCGTGAGTTTGTGACAATAAAGATTGACATTAATTCATAAGAAGCTATAATGCAAATCCCTAGCCAGATAACTTGATGGTGACCATACAAAAATGGGTTGGGCTAAGTGGAGGCAGCTAAGATTTCGATTCATTCCATCTGGTCAACCTATGCCCGGATTTAGATTTCCCCTCGTGGGTATATTCATACAAAACATTCAATTACAGGCAAACAGTAGCAACGAAATTATTCCAAATCGCGAAGTTCCAGTACCTGTAGCCGGATGTTGCGGAATCGCTCCTGAGCATCGCTCATGCTAAAAGCTCGGTCACGCTTGGATGAAATTTCCCTCCTTTGGAGCTTCTTGACGCTGTTGACGAACCCATCCATGACACCCCGAGGTCGCTTCTTGGCCAGCACGCGCCGCCCAGAGCACGGCCGCGGACTGGCCGATATCCTTCTTCCGTCCATCGCCACAGCACCTCAGCTGCCCGCCCAATTGTACAACCCTAAGACACCGACAAGTATAATCCCTTATACATGTCACACGCACATAACTCCACCTGTGGAAAGAAAAACGAAAACTTTCCTAGCATAAACCCTAGAAAAATTAGGGCTTTCCTAGCCCAGGTTTCAGCTAGAAGAAAATCAATGTTTTTGAAAGACGCAAAATTGATTAGATGAAAAGGCTTTGGCTTTGGCGCTTTGGTGCCTGCTCGAACCTAGAACTGTGTTAATTTTCTCTCCCTGACCTTACTTTAGATTGATCGGAGATTCAAGATCAGGGAAATGGGTACGTGGATGATGTCGGGGGAGGAAGTAATGAAGTGCGGAAGAGGGAAGAAGAAAGGAAAAAGGAAAAGTTTTTTACACCATCATTTTTTACTAGGAGTGTAAAAAATACAGGTTGGACTTGTAAATTGGACCGGAGAAGAATCACAGGCTCTGGGTTAGAACTACTAGTTCGATCTTAAATTAATTTTATTTATTTCTTTTGTAGATTGGCTCAAATTAATCTTTCACTTTCATCTTAAAACTTTTTTGTGGTTCACTTCTTTTTTTGTCTGCATCACTTTTAATCATATATTTTCACTTTTTTAAACTCCGTACAATGTCAATCTATGAGTATTAATCTAGGACGGAGAGAATATTTTTTATCCGTTTGGATTTAGATCCTTAGTTTTTAGACATGTAAGATTTTGGTCAATTATGGCCATGACCTGGAATTTTACCAGGCTAGACCGGTAAAACTTGATTTAAACTCTTCTTACCATCTAGCTCATTCCATTTCTAGTACATTCTAATGTGATCCAATAATTTGATCCATTCATCCAAATATCCCAAAGTCCCTAATAACCAAACAAATACGGACTCGTAAACCTACCAGGCCGGACTCCTTAGTTTTTAGTCATGTAAGATTTTGGTCAATTATGGCCATGACTTGATTTAAACTCTTTTTACCATCTAGCCCATTCCATTTCTAGTACATTCTAATATGATCCAATAATTTGATCCATTCATCCAAATATCCCAAAGTCCCTAATAACCAAACAAATACGGACTCGTAAACCTAGACGTAAATTAAATCATGCAATTGCATCTCGTTTCTATCGACGGGAGTGACTAACAGGACCGGAGATCCACCGGCGACGCACATGAACTCGATCGATGGTGTGACTCATAGGTAAAAGGCTCAAAAGTTGCAACTTGCAATCACGAATTCTCTACTCAATTGTCTTCCAATATAAATTTATAGTTAACAATGCTCTTATTAGTATATGAATTTGAATTTGCTATTGTAACTTAACATTTGTTTTTCTTGTAATTTGTGAGGAAAACAGATATCTAAAGCCAAAAATGCTCTTATGTTATTTCGAAGGAATCAATTAAAAGTGCCACAATTGAGAATGTCTTGACTGAGAAAGATTTCCAAAACTTATTATGATCTTTACCTCAACGAAAAAAAGTCAAAGGTGGTTGAATGTATTTAAAAAAAGAATAAGAGATTAGAATATTGGTATGATTACTTAGAGTACATTGAAGATGGTAAGTATTACAACAAAACTTTTACTGTTGAACCTAATGATTCGGTTCTAAAAATGTAAAACCCCGCTCAAAAAGATCGATGTGCATTAAACCTTGCAAGTAAGGTAAAGAAAAACAAACTATACTTTCTCTTGACACTTTTAATGAAAATGATAGCGCATGTGAAGCTAAAGAGAAACGTTGGATTTTGAATTTGTGATGTTAGGGGTGCTCCCATTTATACAATAATTGTTGATGAGTTACCATTCTTGTTTGTGGAAAAAGATGGGTTTAAATATTTGATAAGTGTTTGTTCTCCTCAGTTTGTAATTCCATCACATGTCACTGTTGCTCGTGATTGTTTGAAGAGATACAATTTTGAAAGGGTCATAGTGAAAAATTTGTTTGCTTCATCATCTCAAAAAGTGTGTGACTATTGACACTTCGATGTTTGTCAGAAGACTTTATTACATGTGTCTCACAACTCACACTATTGATAATGATTGGAATTTGCATAAACAAAATTTGAATTTCTTTCCAAGTATGAATCATAAGGATCAATCCATTGCAAAGGCAATCGAGATGTGTTTGGAAAAATGGAGTCTTGATTCTAATATATATTGTCCTAGTTGATAATGTTTCTTTTAATGATGTTGCTTGTAATAATATGAAAGAGTTGGCAGAAAGAACATCAGGCATTAGTAAGGGAATATGCCTTCATGTAAGATGTATTGTACATATCACAAAGCTTATGATTTGAAGTGGATTGGGAGATAAAACTATATTCAATCCATTGATCGAGTTAGAAACGCTCTGAAATACATTAAGAATTCTCTTGCTAGGTTGCATAGATTTAAAGTTCCAAGCGCCTAAAGTCGGATTATTCCATCATCGGCAATGATGTTTCTCCGGGGATCACAATCTTCTGCTCCAACAAGACCATCACGACATTACCCTCACCCTTCGGGGCACGCACAATGCAAGTGTTGAAAAAATTGCATAGGGAAATGCAAAACTAAAAAAGGGGATCCGAATTTATAACTCGTTCATATTTACGATAAAAAATAGAAGAAAAAGGAAACTAGACTGTGGAGGTGCGAAAGATGAACTGACTACGTAGCTTATGAGCGTCAAACTAAACGGTGGTGAACGGAGTAGAACTTTAAGAAAGCAGAGTCGCCAGAGCTTTCCTTAAGGTAGTATCGTCCGCCTCCCACACTACAACGTAGACAATCTCCTCTCAGGATAGAACTACATACTAATGTGCAAAGTCTAGAGCGGTATAGCAGTGCACCAACGAACAGGAACGAGGAAGAGTTACTTGTCGAAAAGTAATCAGAGAAGACAATAAGAGAGTTGGAGTGTATGCAGAGAATTAAGTGGATTATGGTTTCAGTGTGTACCCTCTTACTCCTTCAAAGTGTTCGACTTTGTGAATTAATTTCTCATTGAACCGAGTATCATTTTTGGCGCACAATATATCGAAACACTCGTCTCAATTTGGAGATTAATTATCCATAATTATTTTTGAAAAATAATTTAGTAGACCATGCTGAAATTATGTCCGAAGTTGCTCTGTTATTAAGCCAAAAATTCTAACAACAGGTGTGAGAATAATTTTGTTTTGATAGAACTGAAGAACGTTAATCTTTCTCGCGTGTTTGTTTATCTGTCCACACTGACCAAAAAGGACAGGGGGGTCATTCTTGGAAGGGGCATGCCCAATAAGATTGACGTTATTGCTCTAAAGTTTAGAAGAGCGATTCAGGGGCAAATTTGGCTTAATTTTTTTTTAAAAAACTAATGGGACTCCTATTATGTCTTGTTTTTAAAATACTTATACCTACAATTAAATAAATTTAATTAAAATTAAGACTGAGAGATAAATCAAATTCGCAATGAGAGAGTATATTAAATTAGGTATCATTGAAATTGTATTACATGAGTTATATATTGACATGATTTCATCTAGAACACCTGTTTGTAAACAACTAAATTTGCCAAATATTTTTTTGAACCACAGATTCAATCCGATAGTCCAACACGAATAACTCAACTCGTTACACAAACAGCTAACAAAACCCCGCCAACCAAACACGGCCATAATACTCCGTATAAAACTTTGGCGCATAAAGTAAAATGATTTCTAAGAATAGACCGAATTTAAGAGGCATTAATGATTATTCATAGCACATTAAATGATTTACTCAATATGGAGTAATTTATTCTTCGTGCCCATCAACGAATAGTTTTCAAAACCCACAATGTTAAATTTAAAACTTTATGATCAAATCTTGGCAACGAGATTGTGATAATTTCATCTAATATAATGGGTTGTTGTGGACTTGTACGCATTGGACAAGAGACGATTTCTATAATAATCAGACTAAAATTATATAGTGATTTCTTCTTTCATTATTTTGTTGGGTGGGGGTGTGAACCGTCAGAGATGATCACTTTGTTTAATAAGGTTAATTCTGCGTCGTGAAGAGTATACAAACTTTATTACTCTCTCTCTCTATAGTCAATTTTGATTGATTGGAAAAAATCAAAACTAGACAAAATATTTTAAAACAAAGAGCGTATTTAAAATAAATTTTTTTAAAAAAATCATTTATGGAATGAAGGTGCACGATGTACATTCATTTAACCCGAATATATATTTTTATTATTATTGAGATAAATTTTTTTTAATTATGTGAAACATGTGAATTTTAGTTCATTAATTAAATACTTCAGGCGTCCCAAAATTTGTTTCTTATTTTGATTTTTATAGAATTTAACCTAGAAATATTTTTATTTTGACTTTTTTGAAATTTCCATAGATAAAAGTATGATGGTGGGGTGGAAAAAAGGAATTTGTAGATAAAAGAAGGGAAGAAGATGAGATTTTCATTCATGCGTTGACCAAGACCTACAAAAGAAGGGTTTATTAATTTCTTTCTAATCTTGCATCATGGTACTCCGATAATGGAGATGACTCCAGAAGAGACTTGACAATATTTTTAAAGATTTTTCAAAGACTCTATGAAGGAAAACAAAAATGTTACGTCCGTCCTAATTTAAGTTATTTATTTACTATTCATAGAATCAAATATTAATCACATACTTTCTTTATGAATCTTTCACTATTTATTTAACAAAATAATATAGTGTTGTCACATCTTATTTTATAAATCTTTTGATATAATTTTTGACTGTATAGATTTTGTTTTTAATTCCATATCAATTTTCAAATAAATTGAGCTGAAAATAATTTCAGCTAAACCTTGAAAACAACAACATGCAATTTGAATTGAGACATAGAAATATCGCAAAGTCCCCAAAGCGTAGTACGGTGTAATATATTTGCAAGGAGGGAGCAAAAGACTTTGTGATATTGTTTTTTTTGTGTTTGTCTAGTTTGACTTTTTACAATTATTTAGAAAATAAAATGAGGAAAAACCAAAATGAAAAATAAAATTCGGAGGGAGAGAGTATATTTTCAGAAACTTATTTTATTCAACATTATTAATGTATGCATGGAATACAATACAATACTTCCTCCGCCCGAGTACATGGCCGGCCCAGAAAATAAAAAATAAAATTGGTCTGGTTCAAAATTTACATTTTGGGCCCTATTTTATTTTTTAGAATACTTATACTTTAAAATAAATGCATAATTTAAAAATATAGGACCCTAAAGTTTTAGGGGCCCAGTGCGATTGACCACTTTGCATACCCTTCGGGCCACCCATGCCCGAGTATATCTTTCACTTTGATTTCTTCGAATCAAATTGAAGAAATTTTAGACTTCAATTAATTATAATTATAATTTATATCAGTATAAACACCAGAAAA